CTGTAAACGTCAAGGAACAGGGATATGCCGCGGATCAGCACCCCGGACGCGTCGAGATGTGGCGATATGTTAGGGAATGAGCGAGTCTAGGCGGGCGACATGCGACCAAGAAGAACCTTTGGGCCGCAGCGAACGGCCCAAGAAGCATGCGTGCTGCAACCGAAGTGGGGGCCATGCAGCAGTTCTATGGCGGAGGTTGATCTCTTTCTACCCAGTAATCACCCTTGCTAATAGCTTTTCTGTAGTTATCGGCGGAGCAATCTGAAACAGTATATTGTAGTCTGGTGTATGTCGCAAGCTTTTCATCGTTACAGTTGGCTTTAATACCGAATCACTATGTAGCTCAATGTAATCATTCAAAACGTTTGTACGTCTAGACGACATTCTTGGATAGATGTGTTCAGGTGCGGGGCATACCGTGTGACCGGTGAAGCTACACGGCAGATCGGTGGAGAGCGGCAGAATGGCACCATGCAAGCCATGCCTGTCACCAGCCATCAAGTGAGGCGTGTGAGGCATTAACGCGGTCATGGTGTGCCACTGGTAGATGTTTGCAAAGGCTAGCTTTGTTGTTGCTGTGAGCTTTGCGCAGACGCGTCTGTGGGAGCAATATTGCGAACGCGCTGGAGGTATCGGATGTATCAAGACCACAAACAAAGACACTACCGCCTACTCCCAAGGCTGTATCGTGCATTCGACGCGACACAATGCGGTCACGATACTCTGATGGTGTTGACACTGCGTGACTGCCTTAGCCACAGACGCGCCTTCCGGCTAGCTATCGATAGCTGGGTCCAAAACAGCCTTCACCTTCAAAACAGACGCGCATAGCCGGCACCAATGCAAGCACGGCATTTGTTGTTGTTGTGGTCCTCGAATCGCGACTCTCCAGAGCAACGTCCAAAGCCCACTATGCGCACTAACAGACGCGTCGTGCCTGACTTACGGGATGAGTAACAGCCCTGCACGCGACGGGATCGCTGACCGCCAGTCGTGACTGTTTAGCCACAGCTTCCAAGACCCGGATGCAGACACGATGCAAGACTAATGCAAGAGCCGCATACACTATCCCGTGCATGCTTCGAGCCGGTTGGTCAGAATGAGTGAAACGTTTCAAGCCGGCTCCAGGCTGCAGCCCCACTCGACCACTTGGTCGAATCGTCGCGTCTAACACCATATATACACGTCTACCCACCGCGAGATGGTCGCGTTTTCTGATCAATTCTTCGGCTGCTTTGCGTTAAGAGTTGGGAATCCGGTGGCGGGCTCGTTGGCATCTAGGGGAACGACCTTTGACTCACACCTGCAGCTCACGTGTAGTAGCGTTGGGCCCCGCTTTGCAACCATGCACCGCGCTGTGGTAAATACAGCTGGGGACGAGGTCGTGGCTGGTCCCGTCGGATTTCTGTTTCCTGAGGTTTCGCTCTTACTCTTTCGAATGCTGGATGTTTGAAACGACTTTTACAATTTACTTGAGATTTACCACGAGATTGATACCTTGAAGAATAAACGACCTTTTTACGAACCAACACTATTGCATGCGACCCACTCGAGTATTACAACATGTACTCACAGCGATCGTCGCCACCGCCACTGAAGCGCTCACATTCGGGTGAGAGCCAGAACAGCTATGCCAGCGCTGCGACAACAGTATCGCGCGCAAGCTCCAAGTTACTGTTTGGAGAGATCCCATTGACACCTGCGACGACAGTAGATGGACGATGTAAGTACCCCGTCGCAATGCGCGCGCACTCATCCTAACGTCATGAAGCGATTCGTTCCAATGGCTCCATCTGCAACCTGGTCCTCTCCACAAGCTCAGTCTTCTTGCGCTTCTGGTTAAACGACGCCTGCCGCGACAACGTACTGGATCACATGGAAACTGAAGACCTATCCAATTTCCGCCTTGTATGCCATGACTTTTCATCGAAAGCCGCGCCACGACTCTTCGAGAAGATGACCGTGACCTTCAAGACATCGACCTTCTCCAAGCCAGCGCGCATCGAAGCGCTATCGAGGATAGGCCGTCACGTCAAGACCTTCACCTTCCACATGCCACATGGCCCAGAGACCTGCTTGCCACCCATCATCGACCCGTGCACTGGCACAGAGAAGCAGTTCATCTACGAGCCCCAAGTCCAGACACCGCAACATGGACCGGCCAAAGACAAGGCACCCAAGTATGGCAGCTGGGAGATGCAGGACTTGCTCATCAAACAGTACCCACCACTGTTCCATGCCGCGACCAATGTCCCTGCATTTTGCGCCGCCTTCTCTGAACTGATCAACCTCACACATCTCAAGGTCTCATGTCCGGGATCTACTGGCTCACTTCGACACCGACGAGGTGTAGTCGACTATGCGCTCATCTCTCTTCGCATTGCCATTGAGCGCGCTCCATTGTACAGCCTCTCTGCTCTTTCCCTCCACCCCATCCACCCTGGTGGCCTCTTATACCTCCACCCCATGCACGGCTTCGGCAGCACACCATCCTCAGCCAAGCGCTGGGGTCAAATCCGTCGCCTCTCAATCTGCATGGAAAGCATACCCTTCACCTCAAGCTCATCGCGCACCCGCGCCCAATCTCTAGAACACCTCCGCATCCTACACGCCTACCTCGCCACACTATCACGCGGCCTAACGCGTGTCTTCTTCCGCTGGAAAGGCGAGCGAGGGCCTTCACCCCTCTCACTCGACCGTGAACCTTGCATGCTTCCCAGCCGAGAGGAGTCCACCCACCCCTCTCTCCGCGGCCAAACCAATGGTCCCCGCCCCTTGAAGTTCCCTCGCCTCCGCGTCATGGAACTGGAAAACGCGCTGATGGACTCCGCGCAAATCAGCGACTTCATCACAAAACACAAGCGCTCCCTCCGCGAGTTCAACTTCGAAGATGTTAAACTACGCGAGGGCGACTGGGATCTCGCGCTTGAACCTCTGACTACCATTTCTGGAAGCGATCGATGGAAGCAGTACCAAGAAGAGGTCATGGATGTTCCCATTATGCTCTCGCCTATCGATGCCGAGCCGCGGGTCATGGGCCCGTTGCTCGAGGAGGTCGAACAGGCCATCGAAGAGGTTAGTGGAAAGGAGAGGAGAGAACATGCGCTGTCGAGGTGGTTGGGTAGACCGCGACAGTCGAGTAAGAAAGATAGCTTCTGGGGTGGAGGCAAGAGGTTCCTGCATCTTTCGAGCTGGAAGGGCAGCTCGCCTGTTATGGTCAGGTGAAGTGGCTGTGCTTGTTTTCCTGGGTTCTCGTCTGGTACTAGGGAGTTTTGCTGTGGTATGTCACGGTTGATACCCCTCGGGCATGGTTTACGGCGTCTGCTTTCTGTCTTTATCGTTCTTGTTGTTGGGTTTCGGATAACAGCCTCTCATGTCCTCTCTTTTCGTCTTTCCTTTGTCTTGTCTTCCTCACGCTCATTACGACTCAACGTCTCTACGGCCTTTACGACTACTCCGAAAATCACGTTTGCGCATGGTTACGATGGTATGAGTAGAATAGTATGACCTTACGATCCTTCAATGATATTTCCTTCTGGTCCTTACTTTATGTGTGCGCACATTGCATCGGGTCAGCGTGATGTGGAGGTCTACTTTGAGATCAACCAATTCCAGGGCTGTGTTCATATTTTGCCGTACCTGCAAGGCGTCCGCACACTTGTTTACAGGTCATGTCCGTGCCTGAAGCTCAGTGTATATAGCACGTGCAGACAACGTAGTGATTCGCATTCGTTCAGTTGTTGGTCACCCATGCATTAGAAATGTGGTTATTGAAGCAGACTCCGAGTATTGCGTAACACCCGCTTGAATTGGTACACATTTTCGCCTCCAGCCTCGCATCTATAGCTTAGCCTTGTTCTGCACCTTCTTAAAGATAGGCTCCAGCTTCGTCGCGCTCATAACGTTTCCCTTGACCTTCAACTTCCCGCTCATAAACAGCTTCTGGGCATTCGCGTTGCCGGCCGCAAGCTTGCCAAAGTCCTCGTCGCTCAGCACCAGTGTGGCGGTAGCCTTCTTGCCTGCCGGAGCGGGACCCTTGCCGACCGTGCCGGTCTCCTTGAGATCAAGGTACCATGTTTCTTGTGTGCCGGCCTTGTTCTTGAGTGTGAAAGCGAAGATGGCCTTGCCGTTCTTGATGGCGTCTTTGCGGTCGGCATCGGAAGCGGAAAGGGCTTGCGCGATCTCGTCGAAGGCGGCGGAAGCGGGAAATTCGTCTAGAAGTGTGTTAGTTACACTATTCTGAGGTTCCACAGGAGGTTTGGTAGGGTCGGCATGTGCATACCGTTCTTGAGAGACATGTTGGCGATGTGTTGCTAGATTGGTGATGCGCGTTCGGGAAAGGTAGAGACTGATGGCGATAGTAGCTAGGTGGAAGAGTTTTGTGGAGTCGAAGTCGCGAATGCGGAACAGTCTGGGGTATATAAGAGCTTCGGAGGCTTGTGACAGCAGTGATGATGTATGCAGCTGCGAATCTGGGGAAGCATGTGAATGAGTGAGTGGGCCGAGACCCTTGAAACGATCATGCCGAGGCATAACCGCTTTTGGATGGAGCACGTGGACTAGTTCTTCGGCAGGCTCGCATCTCTTTCCTCAAATTACTTCAAAGTTTAACGATCCCTAGCAGCGGACAACACCTTCAAGTTGCTGGGAAGTAAATTGAACCTATTCGCATCGGCTTACTCTGTTGCATTTCGTCGCACCATTGCAGTCAATCCGTGTTTGCACGAAGTGCCATTGCTGCGACCCAAATAGATCTGGACGCTGGCGAGGTAGTCGCGGCGGACATTGAGACCGAGCAGCTGGCGGCGCATCGAATTTTGCGTTTGACTCGACTAATGCTGTTGCATCAAGAGGTCGGGATGGTTGCGCGTTATTACGTCGCTGCCAAGCTGGGCACGTGATGACGTGGAACAACGCGTGCGCGTCTCAGCTCGACGCGTTACCGTTTCCATCTCATCATTGCACCTTCTCATCAGCCACAACACTCAAACGCTCACATTATGAAGAACGATATTCACAAGACGTTCGGCGAGATCTTCGATGGCGATATCACGGCTTTCCGCAAGCAACTGCTAGAGATCCAACACATCCAAGCTGATCGGAAGAAGGCTGAAGACTGGGTATCGAAACTTCGCTTCTTAGATATTTCCAAAGTCCCAAACCTACTGGACGAGGAAGCTCAACAATATGTCTCTTACGAGCCTCCCGATGACCCGTGGGTTGATCCAGAGATACCGTCGCATGAAATCCCTGTTACAGAGCGCGAAGATGACGACAGCGAGGTTGAATACATTGCTGTCTCTTGGAAGTGGGAAGAACGCCATCATAACCATCTAGATGATGCAATCAAGCCACCTGTCTTCGACTACCAAATCAAGAGACCTGGTGCCCCAGCCCATAAAAGTAGCTTTCCAGGCCGCTATATGGATCGAGTAATTCGATTCGCCCAGAGCAAGAGCATCAGCTCCTCCAAATTATGGATTGACAAGGAATGTATATATCAGAGACGCGAAGATGAACACATCTTCCCAGAGGACAAAGAGCATGGTGTTCAGATCATGGACGTTGTGTATGGCGACAGCACCTTGTCAGTTGGCTTACTTACGGTGGAGCTTGCACATGAACACGAAGTTGATCTGCTGTCGGAGCTGCTTCAAGGCGAAATTTTTGCCAAACGCAATTACCAAAGTCTCCCAAAACTGTTGCCCGGGGTCGACGAGAGGGCAGTACAGATGATCATCCTGCGTATCCTGAGCGATCCACGCTGGTCGCGCGGATGGATCTTCCAGGAAGACCATTTGGCTTCCCATCGGATGATCCTGCTCATACCATGTCGCCGAGGTATTCGCAAAGATCAGGGCTACGACTTTGGTGATACCATGGGGGAATTACAAGTCAGACTCAAAGATTTCCGACAATCCGTGACCATGTTTTGCAAGGCCACCTACGAGAATCAAGGACGATGGCCAAATACGGAGTTTTTGGGAAAGGCAAAACAATACAACATCTGCAACAAGACCCTCGTGTTGGGGGGTATCCCTCAGACCTACTCCCGGCGTCTTTGGAGGGATGATGCCAGCGATGAAAGCATCCCTAGAGTTGAAGCCTACCCCACTACGACTAACAGCGTACTGGAAGACATTTGCAACCGATCACTGGAGCATGAGGAGGACAGGATCGCCATTCTTGCAAACGCTTTGAGGTTCAATAAGCGACTAAACCTCACAAAAGATTCTCCCTTGCTCGAGGTGGGCCAATACAGCCTCTCTGTAGCACTGCTCGCACTTGTGCTCATGAATGGCGAGATTCTGGACGTTGTGTTGTTGCAGAAAGATCTGATGACATTCACATTGCAGTCATATCTAGATGCATGTCAATACGAATTCGTTGTTCCCAACCTCAGATATCGGCAGAGTTTCGTCGACCGTTGCCGTTTCAAGTCACCAATCATCACACCTCGTGGTCTTGAGACGAAAGGCTTCCTGTTCACGCTACTGCCTAAAAGGATATCAAAGGATAGAGCATATGGATACAACCCTCTCCTCCTCACGACCTCGGATCGAAAAACCCTGTCGCCAATGGGCGGAGGTCCAATGCTTGGAGGCAAGAAGCTGAACAAGAATGCACACACAGTATTGAATCTGGTGGTCCAGAAGCTGGAGGCACTATGGCCAGGGAGTAAGCTCGCCAGGCATATGCTCCGGTATTTATCGTTCGACCAACGTCAGCGACAAGGGAAAGACATACCGCCATCTACATCATATGTATTGGATATGATGTCCGTCCTTTATCAAACTCTTTGTGAAGACGATCAAAAGCTACGTCTTGCGCGATTAGCTTCAGCCCCTTTCGACGGAGAGCCTGTTGCCATCTTCATTGAGCCGACGCCGGACGGCTGGGTAATGGAGTCTCCAGACACCAAAACACAAGACGGGAAGCCGATTCTCGCCAACGTATTTACCAGTTGGGACGCCACGCGAAAGCCCTACAACAAAGACCGAGTCGTGAGCTTATCAGTCGCTATAGAAGATGGCAAGGGCGCAAGACAGAGCTGGGACAGTCGGACTTGTTACATGGAAAATACGGGATGGGTGCACGGAGTTTGGTATGCTGTAGGCGAGGAAATGGCTGACTATGTATTTCCTCTGCCGGGCATAACTGATCATCGCATATTCCAGGAACAGCTGGAAAGTAGTAGCGGAAGAAAGAGGAAGAGAGAGGTCGATGTTTGAAGGGTCCAGGAACCAGGGATCGACACCGCCCATGGCAATATGGAATCATGGCTCAGCAAGCATTGTCCTTCATCTTTTCTCTCGCAGTTTCTACGCATGCGCAGCCACAGGAGAAGGTTTGGTGCTGACTGGTCCAAACAAGAAGCAAACGAGCGTATCACTTGCTTCTTCACCGCCCTCCAAGAACCAACACCGGTCATACAACCACAGCATGCCTTCGCTGACTGAAAAACTCGTCCTGAAAGTTTCTCTTACCCCGCTTACATACCTGTTCACTCGCGCCAACTCGCTCTTTCAATCGCAGCGCAGGGCATGGAAAGACTTTGCCGAAAATGCTCCGGATCCTGCTCTTGTAAACCTGATCAATGGCCCCATGGAGGATACTGGAAGACTGCTGAACATGACACAAAACTTTCTGCGAAAGCTCATCGACTTGGCAGAGATCAAACTGAAGCAGGTAGAAACGGAAGCACAAATAGCCGGTGCAGAATGGCTCGACAACCCGACCGATCCCATGAACAACGCCAAATTTCTCATGGCGAGAAAGATTCATAGCGACTACATAAAGCATATGTGGGAGGCTTGGGATGTTGGGTTAAAAATCATTCCTGGAATACAGGCGAGATTTGACGATATGGAGGACACGCTCGAGAAGCTCGCTGTGCTCATACCAATCGAGGAGCTGGCGCGGCCACTTGAGCCGTTTGTAGTCAAGGGAATGGAGATCAACGACAGGATGTGGGTGTTTGCAATAAGGTTATTGGGCATCGTGCGAACGGTTGATATCCCCCTCGGTGTTGCGACTGTGGCTGTCAACGTCGAAAAGTACCCAGAAGCGGACAAACTTGCGCGAGCAAGATACAACTTTGGGGATTACTGAAGGCCAGAGGATGAGGAAGTGTCTGGTGCGTAAGCAGGAGCACCGTAGTTTGTTGCGAAAGTCTTAGATCTGGGTGTTGAATTCGTAACATCGTGGGCACTGATGAAGCCCGCTAGGTCGCTTGCGCTGTCTAGTCTATAAATCGCTCTGGTCTATGCCCATCCAATTCTATAAAGATTATATCCGCTTTCGTCACCTCGTCCAATACCCCGTCTCTTCTCTACAAATTCTCTTTCAAGGATCTTGAACGTCAACCCGCTGTCGCTCTTGACACAAAACTCCTGTTCGAAAGCGGCTTCGACAGTATCGGGAATACCCTCAAATTTGCCCGTCTTGCGGACCGTGACCATGAGCCAGAAAACACCGTTCTGGGCCAGAAGATGAGCCGCACAATCACGTAACCAAGCGGCATGTTCAGGAGCGTAGACTACGTCTGAGGCGATGAGAAGATCTGATGCTGACTTCATGTGTGTAGGAGGTTGAGCCCAGTCCAGTATTGCAGTCTCTACAGGTGGTGTGTCGTATGAGCTCAAAGGGAAATTTGTCTCGATGTTTGCGTTGCAGTTCTCTAGAACCGCAGGGTGATAGTCGGTCGCCGTGATGCTGACAGGTCCAGCGCCGACCACAGGAAGTAATTTTGCGACTGCTAAGCTGACGAGTCCAGTGCCTGCACCGAGCTCGATGATTGTCCGCTTCCCTGCAAGACTGTCTTCAGTCAGTCCAAAGCGCTCTGGCTCGGCGCACATCATGCTACTGAGTACGATGCTGGCACCCCAGGACTGAAGCCCGACAGCTGTATGATCTGTACTCGACAGTGGCGCATCATTTAGCGTGACCTTAACTGTATCTCCAGATGAAGTGGGGAAGCAGAAGTCTCGTGTCAGCGCCTCTTCCTCTTCATCGGCGTTATCGAATAGGGTTGAAAGAATGAAGCCGGCATCATCGACAAGCTTTTCTCGTACATCGTCATCGACTTCCATCTCTTCCGAGCGCGCGAGGAGCGAGTTCAGCCATTGGGTGGCAAAAGTGCGCTCGAATGGGTCTGCACGGAGAGCTGCTGTCACCTCTTCGGGTGTGACCTGGTTCTCATCATCTTCGCCTTCGTCTTGAGACGCATAACCGGAATCAGCGGGTCCAGGGGGTGAGACGATAGATGTGTGCTCTCTTTTCGATGTCGGGTGTGAGATAGTAGTTGGAAGGCGTACAGGACAGTATAGCGTCTGTAGGTTCTTAAGAGCGGCGAAGATCTGATTTTCCGATGCCGATAGTAGCGAACGGATAGGTGGTAAACTGCTTGATGGTGGCAGACAACTGCCTGTAAGAGTGACACTCATCTGACGCCTCGCTAACAAATGAACAGACCAAGGAACGCACACAGGGAAAAGGAATGTGGAGAGAAGGAAAAAAGAACTGGAGAAGACGTGGAGACAAGGGTTCAGTCAGAAAAATCAATCGGCCAAGGCAAGGGACAATTTGACGATACTTAGTTTAGCCTCACGCTCGGGCAAAGTCGTGACTTCTAGATCTTTTCACCGCCTGTCATTTCGCATCGTGGTCGTATGTTTGGATCGGAAAGGCAGGTGCACAGGAAGAGCTTGCTTCGTCGGATTTGCACATTGCATGCTAAAATCGTAGTATCCGTCACACTCGATATCTATAAGACGGCGTGTGGCACTGTGAATGAGCCAACCAGTACATCTAGGGGTAGTGATTTTTGCGTGGGATGGCTATTGCCACGTGGGTCGCTAAGCCGAGCCTCATCGACGCTAGACCACGGAAGGCATAGCTACCAGATCCAATGGTCAGAGACCCATCCTAGAAAACTTCGGTCAACACCGGCAAATACGAATTGTGCCGACGGTAATAGCCTTGAAACATCTTGGTATACTCTATCAGGAATCTCGCGCAACACGTCGATTATAGCACTAGTGGCTTGGAACCGCCTTGTGGGCTGATGCCGAGGCTGCTCAGTCTCTGGCTACGCGGCCTTTACGATCGTGTTCTTTAGGTAGACAGTGATGGACAATCCTGCTCTCTTCCGATTACAACTCATTTCTCCACCATCTTCTCATCCATAGCTTCCGGAGGTGTATCCGTGCCCTCACCCTCCACAACCATCGGCCCCTTACCCGGCTTCTTCCTCCCAGTGATGTCCATGTATATCGACTTGAAGGTCCTGACGCTTGTTTTTCTCCCCTCCCAAAGCGGATATAACCCTACTGCGAAGCATGAGCAGAACATCCACAGAATGCCCACAACAACCCATCCAGTGAAGAACTTCTTGCTGAAAATATACGAAGAACCGTACATGGGCATAGGCCACAGCACGAGGAAGGATATCGCCATGAAGAGCGTGAGCCAGCGCGCAATACGCGATGCTTTGAGTAATTTGGCTTGTTCCTCTTCATCAGCTTCGATGGCTCGTCGTTGTTCACCGGGGATCTGTTCTAGATCAACGTTCGCGGCAAGAGCAAGGTCGTGGTCGTCGCCTCTGCGGATAGCCTTCATGCTCTGCCAATCGTAATTTTGGGGCCCAAAAGCGTACGTGAAGACAGGGATGAAGACAATGGGGGAGAGGAGCGCGACAACGTTTCCTGCTAGCATAGGGTTGTTGGCGCCGGTGGTGAGCACAGTGAGTTCGCCGCTCTCTTTCTGGGCGGTGACGAGCCAAGCAATGAGGGAACAGGCGAAGCCGAGAGGTGGTGTGAAGGTTGCTGCGACCCAGTTCATCTTCGACCACATCAGCGTTAGAGTGGCGGGCAGGACAGCGGAGGAGATTATGACGCCCATGAGGAGATATAGGTAGCCCATACTGATGCCGATGTAGTAAAGCCCTGTACTCCAGGCTGCCATTACGACAGCGAAGCCGACAACCATGGTGTGAGACATGTAGATGAGTTGTTTCCCTGTAGCTTTAGGGTTGACGTAGGTCTAAATTTCGTCAGCTCAACAATACGTTTTCATGACCAGTAGAGCTATGCTTACCTGGTAGAAGTCATAAGTGAAAATGGAAGAAACAGCAATTAGCTCAGCAGACATGGCGCTGGTCACAGCCATGAAGACGAGAAGCAGAACTGCAGCCGCTCCTCCCGAACCCATGAGAGCAACAGCGGCCGTGGGTAACACAAGCCCAGCCGTCACGTCAGCATCGGCCATGCGGTTAGGATACCCGGGGAAAACAGGGTTGTTTTCTAAAGCGATCGCACTGAGACCCATTGTAGTAGCGGCTAGCCATGGAATGGCGAACCAGGATAGACCACCGATGATGTATCCGGGAAGAGCATCGACGGGACTGGCAGCGATGGCTTTGTTGTAGTATCCATTGTCGCAGAACACAGTACCGAAGTTGCCCACGATGTTGATCACGAAGAAGATTGCACCTTCTTTCGATCGCATGGTTAGGTAAGAGCCTCCGGCGTTTCCTTCGACTGGATGATCCGTTGCGGCTTGTACCAATAGATCGAAGACTTTCCCAGGGCTTCCGAGATTCTCGTTGGTCGCATATGCGGTGAAGGCAAACATCAAGAGAATGATCAGAATGACAACGGTATGTGCTAGAGGTAATATTAGCGACTTTTTGCTGCAAATGTAGAAGGAAGTAACTCACCGTAGTCAGTCAAGAAAGTGGCCTTGATGCCTCCAAACATGGTGTAAAGAACTACACCAACAGGTAACAGGAAGCAAGCAGCAGCAGTTGGCATACCGGTGAGCTTGAGCAGGTTAGTACAGACATATCATTCACCGCGTTTGACGTACCGAAGTCACAACAGCGGAGCCTCCAGTCAACAACATCGAAGTGACAAGGATGTTGGTAAATAGACCAAAGACCATAAAAACGACGTGCGTGACTGGACCGTATCTGGCGCGAATGACCTCAAGGAAGGTATGTGCATTAGGTGCTCTTCGTTTCAGCTCGATAGCAATCGTAGCAAATAGGATGATCTGCACAGTCGCTCCCGAGGCGTACCAGAAGGGGCCAGATACTCCATATCGGTAGGCGACTGCGCTCGATTGGAGAAGTGTTGCCGCCCATGTCCAAGATGATACTACGGCTGACGCGACAAGTCCCGATTTTACTGTGCGACCAGCTGTCGAGAACATCTCAGAGGTTTGGAGTTCATAGTTGTATCTCTTCAGCACGAATGTCGTCAAGATCATACCGAAGCTTTGCCGAGTTAGTAATGCCCATGTATGAGAGACGTAAGACCTACGAGAAGGCAAAGCCTAAACCGATTACAATGCCATAGCCAAAGCCTTGGCTTAGCGGCGGAGGTGTACTCATGCTGGGTGAGTTAAAGACACCTCAGGTGACGAGCAGCTGGCAAGTGGAAAGTGCGATGCCAGAGGGATGTCGGAAGTTGAAATATGATTAACCTTACTGCTTAGCTTCGCTTGGGAGATTTCGCAGAAAGCTTCGGTCATGATCTGCCGGCATACGACCTCTAGGAGAGGGCTTTAACCATGATAAAGCAAGAGCATTACCGTTCATCGGCCGCACGCATAAGGCAGGTATAGCCAACCGTAGGGCTAGCGTGCATATTCGCGGATAATTATTAAAGGTGACAACGATCACAGCTCGAAATCTGCATGGTTCTGCAGGCTTTCGTGGGGTTGGGCAACATGAGGATGCACACCATGTGCGGAAACGATCTTCCAACCCCGGTATGGTCCGATAACGCGGCGGAACAATGCAGATAAGATGCGAACTCTTGTGTGGCATCTTTTACTCACAGCCAAGCTGCGGCCAATCGCAGGCTTGCACGGATTGTGACCGTTCAGGATCAGGCAGCTGCTCGCGGTCGTCAAAGCGCGGATGTACATGGTCTGGTCGAGTGCAGGGCATCGCGAGAGAAAAAGCCAACGGACGTGCAGCCATCCAGCCATCCAGCCATCCAGCCATCCAGCCATCCAGCCATGGCCTCCGAAGATACTGGGACGAAGGGTTGAAAACTCGATGACAAGATGCAGGAAAGCCGTTGGAACACGGAAAAAGCATCTGTCCAGCGTCTCTTCCGTCAAGCTTCCAGCGGCAATCTTAGCAGGCTCGCTTATTTGCCAGTCGCGACGCGTCATTGGCTGTTCAGCATCTCTTATCTTCCTGGCGGGATTGGCAGCCCCAGATGCCACATCGCGTTGGGATCACGCCCTCTAGTCAAACCGCGGAAGCTGGAAATAAGCTGATAGTGGGCAGCTTGCACAACTCCTTACCAACACGCTTTAATAAAAAATCTAAAAAGGCAGAATTACTCGCAGTACTCTTTTATATGCCTCTGCTTTTTCTTATAATTTATTTATAACGTTGTAGTGCGTAATAGGCAGAGAAAGTGTTGTTGTTCTAATTCTTACTTCCAGCTTCCGCGGTTTGACTAGAGCACGCCGTCAGCGGGGATTATCCAGTGCAATCGGTCTGTGCGGGTCGGGCAGGCGTTCGATCTTGCCTTTCAACGGTGTGGCATGGCACCTACTAGCGCTCTTGTATGCGAAACGTACCCTTCCCTTCGACGTGTCGCTAATGCATTGTATAGCTGGCTCAGCATGTGGTGTGCGATCAGCGTAGAGTACTGATCTTGGACTTTAAGAAGGAGCGAGCGTCATGGTATCGCAGGCGGTCTTTCCATTAACACAGCTAGCTCAGGCTTGGCGAAGCAGGAACAAACATCAACACCATGAACCTCGACCTTGCATTGTCGCATTTTGCAAGTCTAATGAAATATATGGTGGTCCAATAGCCTTGCATGGATGAAGCCTTCCATAGTTGCTATATTGTCCTAATTTCGTCACGAAACATCACAGCTTCACCCATCCCGAGGCTTAAGCATGGGAAACTGTGAAGATTTCATTTTCCTCACGATACTCTTAGTCGCCAATACGCCGCAAAGGCTGACCCGTATCGCAAGCGAGATTGCTGTGTTGTTCATGTTGGAGAGACTGCCGCTCTTGGAGACGCTAACCGGATTGAGGCAACATGTCGTGAGTAAAAGGGCGACGCCAAGGTAGAGCCTGCGTCCAAGGGCGGAGTGTATAACCCATCTCGTGTCCACGTATAAAGTCATCATCACGTCTCACGGTCGGAGTTTAAAGCAAGAGGTTTGAAGTGAGAGTATTGATTCTTCATCAAATCCATGTACTACTGTGGGTATCTCGTACACCAAAACTGGCTAAACATAATCTTTTAGGACCACCAAACAGCGACTCCTCAGCAATGCAACATTTCATACATTTCCAGCTCCAGGCCTACGAGCCTGAGCTGAAGTTGGATCCGTCTAGAACGACAAGACCTGCGACCGTCGCACTGGACAAAGTGGAGAAAACACCTGTAATGAGAGCGGACATTGCGAGACGCGATACGTCACCGCTGCGGCCAGGACTAATCTGACTGAGCACACCGATTTGTGTACCCAGGGAACCAATGTTGCCGAAACCGCAGAGAGCGTAGGTAGCGATAAGGCGGGAGCGTGGGCTTAGGTCGTGGTAGGGGGACGCGGGGTCCTCGTCGGTGAGCGATTGGAAAGCAACGAACTCGTTGGTGATGACCTTGATACCGATGAGACGAGCGACAAGAATCAGATCGTTGCCTTGGCGCGATACACCGAGGAGGAAAGCGACAGGGTACAAAAGGTAACCGAGGATCAGCTCGAGCGTCAAGTCGTAGTCGCCGTCGAGGTTGATGTAGCGTCCCCACCAGGTGAGCAGACCGTCGACCAGGTTGAGAAGAGCGATAATACACAAGAGCGTAGAAACGATCATACCGGCGATCTTGAGACCGAGCCAGGCACCGTTCGCAAAAGCGTGGAGGGCGTTGGCGGCCTTGTGCTCATCGTCGTCGGGCACGACAACACGACCGGCGGTAAGAGTCTCCTCAGTCTCCGGGTATCGCAGCTTACTGAAAGCAAGCGATGCGGGGATACTCATGACGCAAGATGAAATCAGGGCTTGCGGGTTAAGGCCCATACCGATGTAGGCGACCAAAACACTACCGGCAATGGTAGCGAATCCAGAGCACATGACCTGGTGCATCTCGGCCATGGTGAGATGAGCAACGAAGGGCTTGATCAACATAGCAGATTCACCCTGACCGATGAAAGGAGAGGCAGACGCGACCACAGCCTCAGCACCGGATACTCGCATAGACCAGAAGAAGAAGACGGCGAATTTGCCGATGAACCACTGAAGAATGCCCCAGTAGTACAAGAGCTGGACGAACGAGACGAAGAAGATGATGGCCGGAATGACGCTGAACATGAAGTACGTGTTCTGAGATATCTCTGGGGTGGTCAAGAAAGCGACACCATCCCTAGCGAAACCCAAGAGTAGGCGAGCAAGCTCAGAGATGAAGTTGAAGATGTCGTATCCAGCCTTGGTACGGAGAACGAACAGCGCGATGATGAACTGCATGAGCATACCGACAATGACGGTATGCCATACAATCTTGCTGCGGTTGCGGGAAGTCGCCCAGAACATGAAGATGAAGACGGCGAGACCGAACAGCGAAACGGCCCGGTTTGCGCGGGTGTTGTCCTCGCTCTCTTCGCTGGCGAATGATCCGACAATGATGACAGCGATGGCAAGGCAAGCAGCGGCAGGAATGCGCATCTTCTCCGGGATGAGGTTGGCAATTCTCGTTCCAGTGTTGGCCCAGACCCAGTGCATGGGCTTGGTGACGATGGTGATGGGAACGTGCAGAGTGATCAGGCGGATCATGATGGCCAGCCAGAACAAAAATGGAATGATCCAGTTCTTGTCGTTGCGGTGCACGACTACACTGGCAATCCACCATCTGGTACTGTTAGCCTGAAGCACTTGAGACGATGGACGTTAAAATGCGCCTTACCCGGTGAAGAGCGCTCCAATAAAGATGTGGACAGGCAGTCTGAACGCCCGGTAGAAAGCACCAAAGGAAGAGTACCAGGGCTTCTTCTCTGCCTCCATTTCGGGATCAGAAGAGCTGCGCGTAGCCTTCTCGACTTCATAGTCGTAGCCACCGGCCTTCTCAATGTCATGCTTCTCGTTGACAGGGTGGCGCTGGTGGAGGTTGGTGCTGTCAACACCAATGGGCGTGAATTGGCTGGCGCTGTCAAGACCACTGGGCCGGAACAACTTGCTGGTCGGCTCGTCTGTGGTTCCGGTGGTGTAGACAACGTTGTCAGGGTGGGCCGCACGCGCGCTGTGGTGCACGTGTTCGTGGTGGTGCTCGCGCGCAATGTCTAGCGCCGGGTCGTCATTGCGGGCGACACCGGGCATTGGTGAGCCGTTATGTTGGTCGCGGATATCAGCCATGGCGACGAATAGGCACAAGGGCAATTCCTGAACAGAGGTTGAACGACGAGGAACTGTTGGTTCTCATATCGAGGTCGGCCCTCGCGGAATTATATTTTCGCACCGTGGCACGCGCTACCACCAAAGTGGAGGGATCGCACCGTCGCTGGCCCAGACAAACAGTTGAACGGGCTCCAGACGGTCACTTGGCAACTTCCTCTTTTGCACTGGCTAGAGCACAGTAGCACAGGGTTCCATTGGCTCCCGGTCGTCTCCGCTTTCTGGAATATCTACCGTCTCATGTTGGTGCTCGCTTACTCGCTGTTCACACGCCTGTCTCTTGTGTCAACGCGACCCAGTACCGGCCGACCTACCGCGCTTCTGCAACCCG